CCGTATGTCCCCAGGCAGGGGGACACAGTCACCGCTGAGATGTGGGCTGGGGTCCCACCCCAGCAGCTCGCTCGGGAAGAGCAGAAGGGGTTTTTTAATACTCCAGGGAATTCAGGGAGTGTGTCTGAGACACAGCGCTGCTGTGCCACTGCAGCCCACAAATCCCACTTCCAACACCAAAAGTTGTTTTTCCTAATTAAAAAATAAAACAACAACAACAACAAAACCAAACCCACACAAGTGTCAGGGTTTCCACATGAAGCTATTCCAGATTTTTTTTCTGGCCAAAGCAGCTGCGCAGGGGGATCTCCCCAGCCTCTCTGCAATGGGTGCTTGGAGGGAGGTGGGTGCTGTCCCCGAGCTCTTCCCTCAGATCAGTATTGTCCCCACAGGGGCTGGTTGGTGCCATCATCTCACTAACGTAACCCCCGAATCACCAAATATGATTTTTAAATTTTTTTTTCCTCTTGCCAGGAGACACTCCAGAGCAACTTGGTTTTCCTGCAAAAGGAGAAAGAAGGATTTACGCCTGAAGGAGAACAGCAAAGCGACATCCTGCTGGTACGTGTTCCTCTCTCCGTGCACACGCCGTGCCCTCCTGACCCACCTGTCTTCACGAGCGCGTCTCTCCTTTCCCTCTCCCTGTATATATTTATCTATTTTTTCATAACAACGCTATTTTCTCTCTGCCTCTCCATCCTTCCCATCTATCCTCCTTCCATCCTGCTCTCATTCAGACTCCGCTGCCAGCTTGGGTCCACCACCATCCAGACTTCCCACCACTCTCCCACCTCCACTCTTCCACCTTTTCCTCCCCAAACCCCTTCTCCTTTTCCCCATGACTCTCACCCTTGTCTTTGCACCACTGGGGATCCCTGTGCCCATGTGGAGGCTCCTGGAGGAGGGGATGGCTCAGGGGCCATGGCGGGTGCCTTGCAGGGGACGGTGGCCTCGGAGCAGCAGAGGCTGCGGGACACCTTCGAGAAGCTGCGGCAGTTCCTGCGGGAGCAGGAGGACGTCCTGCTGGCCCAGCTCAGCCGGGCGCACGGGGACCTCACCAAGGAGCGCCGCGAATACGTCGCCAGCATTTCGGAGAGGAAATCCCTGCTGGACACGCTGATTGCCAAGATAGAGAAGAAACGTGACCAGCCGGTGGTGGAATTCCTTATGGTGAGGCTGCGTTGCCCAGCCGGGCGCTGTGACCCCCTCGGTGAGGCTGGGGGCACCCGCCTGGCCCCCTCTGGTTCTCAGTCATTGAAAATAAGTAAAACTAAGATTACGCCTTGCAAGTGTTCATGAAGGTGCGCACTCCGTAGTACCCCAACCACCTGGGTAACTAGAGATGCTGTCACTAACTACGGTGTTGGAAGTTGCTGAACTTCACACCAGAGATAACTGATGTACGCTTCTGAATGTAAAATTATCAGACAGTTAAATGTCAGACACTGTGTCAAACCAGGTAGAAAAAGGGTAATTAGGAAAGATGAAATTCTGTAGGCTTCCAGTTATTAAGGAAAGGACTGGCTCTACTGGGTGTGGTGAGCATGTGTGGTATCTTTCTCTCTCTTGCTTAAAAAAACCCAAAACTTTTCATGTATTATAGGAAAGGGAATACACAGTGGTAGTGGTAATGAACAATGAGCTGCTGGTAATTAAGAAGGGAAAATTAAGGGTTCAGCTTGTTAAGACTAGACAAAGAAAGGACCGTGTTTGGCAGCCACTCTCTAAGCAGTGACCTTGGTGGAGCTGATATAATTTAATACTAGGTAGACTCTTGAAATTTTACGTAGCGAAGATGAAGTTGTGCCTGTTTTACACTGCAGACTTCTCATCATTGTTTTCCCTCGTATCTAAAGTTTATGAGATATGCCCTCCAACTAGTTACACCCTTTATCTCGGCCTGAATTTTAGGGTTGTGTGGACATTCTGCAGGTGCCTTAGTCCAGTGGACAAGTTAAGGCCGACAAGTTACCCGTTTCTGTGCTGTGACCCATTTTTATTATCAGTTCTGAGATGTTCCAGCCCTGCAAGTAACCACATCAACCTCTTCAACTGGTGCACCCTGGTGCCCGTGCCGCCCAGAGCCTGGGAGCGAAGGGCAGCACGGTGCCAGCGGCCAGGCTGTGACACCGCGGTGTGGCTGCTGGGAGCTGAGGGAAGGGGAAGATTTGGGTCAGCAAGTCACTGGAGAGTCCCCAGGAGAGTGGTGTGACACCCCCCATGAGTCCCCATCACCCTGCTTCATGCAGGGGAGCGACCGTAACCCACTGCCCCGGGGACCGCGGTCCTTCTCGGCAGTGCCAGAGCTGACCTGGCATTTTTTCTCTTCCAGGATGTTGGGAAAACCCTGAGCAGGTACGAAATGGGCTCAGCGTCACTGTCCGTTTGGGCAGAGGTTTGGAAACGCTGCAGACAGCTGAGCATCAGCCGCGGGGAGGGAGATGGCTTTGCCCTGCTGAATATTTGGGATTTGATGTGGTTCAGTTATCTGGAACCAGAGGTCGCTGCACCTCTGTTAAAAACGGGGTTCCTGCACCGGTAGCTGGGACGCAGCCCCCCAGGTTCTGTTGCTGTGGAGGATTTTCCCCCCATTTCCCTCCAGGCCCTGGGTGCTGGCTGACTGCTGGAGTCAGGGCTCCTCTCCGTGTTGTTTCCCCCTCAGCTGCGAGGCGGCAAAGGCACCGATCCCGGAGCCAGTTTCCCCGGAGCTGCAGAGGACCGTTAGGAGCCTGTCTGAGACCAGCCAGCTGGTCGTGGATGCGGTGGCCAAATTCAAAGGTAAAACAAAGAAGTGGCAAGCGATGCCTTGCTGCGTAGCTGCTGCCCCGGAGCACCGGGCACTTCTGTCTCCGTGCTGTGCTTCCCCGGGCTGGGCTGCAGCGGGAGATTCTCACTCCCTGGTGTCCCCGCCTGCAGTTTGGGAGCCAAATACCCCTGCTCCGGTCGGGACCCGTGTCCGAGAGGGGCTTTGCTGGAGCTTGGGGCTGTGGGGTGGGCTCCATGTCTGGCTCGCTGTCCTCATGGGGAGCAGGAAAGATGCCACAGAGGAGAGAGACTCATGCGCCTTCTTTCCTTCCTCTAGTGAACCTGCTGAGCGAGATGGACAGAGAAAGGGGTAAGCTTCTGGAGCTGGTGGGTACAAATGAGGGCGAAAAGCTTTCCAGAATGAGCTTGCTTACGTCCTTGAGGTAGAGATGGGCTCACACCACGACATCTAAATCCAGGGTCCGTGTAAAACCCGGTCCCTTTGTTTTGACTAGGCCTGCTATAAAAATCCAGGTCAGTCCCCATGCCAGGGGATGCTGTCCCCAACGATGCTGTCCTCTAGCCCCAAATGAGGGCCAGGGCTGCACGAGGTCCTCAGCCTCCCTGTCTCTGGAGACTTTACCTTCTTTCACTGCGATGAGTAAGGCTGTGACTAGTTAAGCAAAGAGGCCATTCGGATTTTGAGCCAGCTTTTAGGCCAGATCAGAGATGCCTTTGCAGATGCCCAGGGTCCACGCAGTCCTGGCAGCATCGCAGGGCTTGGGGCTGGCTGGAGCTGTTTGCGCTGAGGCCCGTCTCTGCCCTCTCAGTTTTTGGGATGAGGGACCTGACGCACAGGACAGGCGTGCCTCAGTTTTCCCCACGCTGCAGTCCCTACTGTGAGCCGGGCCCCGGAGGAGAAGGCTTAGCAGAGGGCCGGGGGTGGTGGCACTGCGCGGTGACACCTCTGTGGCCTTGTGGGATGGCCGCGGGATGGCAGCAGAACATCCCACATGAACGAGTGGCTCTGGCTCTGCGGTGAGATCGCCTGGTTACTCTGCTGAGCAGGGTTAGGAGCTGGTGTTCCCTTTGGTGAGTGTTTGTCCCCCTTGTCGCTGGAGCAGGAACTGGCCCGGCCCCAGTGCTGCCTTGCAGGCGATTCTTCCTCACAACAGCCCAGCCTGGCTGCAGCCCCATCACACTTAGATCCAGCGATATCCAGCACAGGATTAGCAAAGCAGGTTTAGCGAAGTCCATCGTGTCTGTCCCCTGCGTGTGGGGATGCTGCCTGGCTCAGTCCTGCTTTGGGTAGCGTTGCTTCACTCGTGGGTCCTGGCGTGGAGGGCAACGAGTGCCCCGTGTCCCGTGCTGGCCAAGGGGCTGCGGGTGCTGCGTGTGTGTGCTCATGGGGCACGAGTGCCCGCTGTGCTCACAGGACACGTCCCAGCCCTGTGGAAGAGGAGGGAGAGGTCCTGGTTTGCTCCTCAGTGGGGAACGGACTGACGCTTCTCTCTGTCGTGCACTAGTGAAGGTGACGCTGGACCCAGAGACGATGAGCCCGTACCTGATCCTCTCGAAGGACCACAAGACTGTGCGGCTGGGAGATGGACAGCAAAACCTCCCCGACAACCCCAAGAGATTCACGGGCAGCCCCAGCGTCCTGGGCTCCCAGGGCTTCACAGCTGGGAGGCATTACTGGGAGCTGGAGGTAGGGGATGGGGGCAGCTGGGCCGTGGGGGTGGCTGTGGAGTCCGTGCGGAGGAAGGACTCGCTCAGCATGGCCATGGGGAAGATCTGGGCCCTGCGGCTGGACTGGGATCGCCAGTACCGGGCGCTCCACATGGCCCCCGCCCCGTTGACACTGAAGGAAGAGCCCCAGCGGATCAGGGTCCACCTGGACTATGAAGCGGGCCAAGTGACCTTCTACAATGCAGATAACATGATGCAGATCTTGCAGTTCAAAGCCTCCTTCACTGAGAAGGTCTTCCCATACTTTTGGCTCTGGTCACAGGAAACCTACATCCAGCTGTGTGCCTGAGGGGGTCAGACCCCGTCTGTCCCCTGCCCCATGCCCTTGGCTGGCTGAGCAGGCAAGAGGCATGGGAATGGCACAGCATCACGTTGCAAACTCGCTGCAGCTCTGCCTGGGCTGGATCCCCACTGCATGTTGCTGCATGTCCTCCTGCTGAGTCCTTTGGAACATTAAAGATGTGTTGTCCTGCTTGGGGGTGTCTGCATGCTGGTATCCTGGCCAGATCTCAGAGTGACGGTGTCCCACGTGTCCCTGCAGGCATTCAGAATGCCCACAAACGAGCAGGAGAGGGGCAGGGAAGATGCTCTGGCTGCCCGTGCTGGTCTTCGGGCAGCGCTGCAATGGCTCGCTTTGCCTCAGGGTGGGCTGCTGGGTGGTGGGCAGCAGGGGACGTAGCCACCCCACACCCGGGAACTCGGGGTGGAGCTGCTAATGGTGGTGGTAATTAATCAGGTAGAACTCTAAAAACTGTCCCTTGAAAGGAAAATGTTCAGGGAGAGGGCAGGGCTGACTGGAGAGTGGAGTGAGGGCACAGCCTGAGCCTCTCCAGGCTGGAAGAGGGCAGCGGTGTGGGGGTGATGGCGATCTGGGAGAACCCTCACGTGAGGAGAAGACACATGGCCTGCTGGAGCCACACTGCGTGTCCCGAGCATTTATCCCCCTGTACAATGGGAGGGTGCGTTTTGGGGCTGGGATTGTGTCCCCAGCCGGGCAGGCCTGAGGGACAACCCGGGCTAGGGCTCCCCTCCTTTCCACAGCACTGCCACCGCTGCCTCCGTCCTGCCCTGTCACCGTGGGCAGGGAGAAGGTGCAGCGGGGCAGCGGGTCCTCTGAGAAGCTGGCTGTGTGTCCATTTTTAAGGCAAACAGCAGCATCAGGGTAAATAACCGTTTATTGCAGGTGGAGGACACGAGCCAGGGCTGCAGAGGTTCTTTGTTTTCCGTTTCTTGTTCTCACAAAGACCTCATTTGAAGAGAAATAACCCGGGAAGGGTTCTCCGGCTCACCGAGGCCCGGTTACCTCATGAGATCGTGCCCTGTTTCCCTCATCTTTCCCAGTTTTACCCGCTCTCCCCCCGGCCCGGCGGGGGTGCAGGCAAGGCTGAAGGGAAACATGGCGGCGGAGGGGCGGTGAGGGGGGGACTGCATTTCCCAGCATGCAACGCGAGGCGGGCAAAGCGTTAAACTCATTGTCCGCCT